GCAGAGGAATACATGCAAATGCCTACAGTGAAAAATAACTGTGGTAGAAATATGATGATCTTTAATTAAATTTTTAAATTAAAAGTGGCATCTGGACTGCAGTGACCCTTAAATTGGTCTTATTTTTACACTTTGGGAAAGAAAGCCTAATTGCCACTCCAGATCAAAGTCCTTCAATGTCCAGAGTTTATAAACGTATAATAATATAACCACATCTTTTACATACAAGAAACACCCATTTTTTTAAATAACCACAGTACTGTATCTCATTATAATAGCAGGTAACAACCTTAAGCTGTTAACACAATTACTGGAAAACGAATGCTTACTGGTCCTCTGTATTAACTCTTACCACTTCAAACGATAAGAAGATAAATCCTCATGACTTTAAAAATGGCCGAATTAAAGAATCAACCATAGGAAAATTAATGAGAATTCTGTTTTCATTTTTATGATTCCCTTGGATGTGAGATGCTGTGATGCTGGTGTGACTTTTGCTGCTGAAAAGTTTCACACCTACTTTCAGCCATTCTTAAACTGTGTTGTCCTGATTCATTCAGAAATTCTGCCTTGTGCCATCCTACGTACCACTGTTCCTGTCCCTGAGGTGGTCAACTTCCCGCACAGTATTAATTGAAAGATTGTTTATGACACTGCCAGGAGTGACGTAAGGGTCAGTTTCGGGGTCAATGTTTGGATAACCTTTCCATGGTTCACCAGGGCGAAATTCTGGAAGGGAAAATTTTAAATTAGTTCAAAGCTTTATCATTTTAAAATACATTATTAAATATTCAAAACTTTTGTTCTTAAAGCTATGCAATTCTCAAATATTTTCCAATTTATATTAACATTCCAAGAGTCTGGTTCAGTAACACAGCTAATACAATACAAACTGTTCTTTATGAATAACTTACCCTGAAAGTTTTTACAGCTGAAATCATCTCTGAGTTTATTTATTTTTAAACACAAACACTTTTAAGTGCTTTATGACAAGTCACAAAGTGAAAGCAAATTGAGTAAGACAAAGCAGGCCACAGGTGCATTTCTGATAATTCCTCACTACAACTAAAGACACTGTCAAGTTAGTGCCCAGATAGATGAATAGGCTCTATGAATTAAGATTTTTTATATTATTCTTTATGCTGGTCAATGGGACCCATCCCAATTTCACTGGTTGGAGCATAAGGGCACTGGTAACAGGCCAAATACACTCATATGCCCAAGACTTTATGTTCAACTTTTCATTTGTCATTTCTACATTGGTTCTTATCTCTAGTATAAATCAGTCCAACCACCCAGAATCGGGCTAAATCACTAGCTAATTGAGTCCAGATGTAACAATACCTTAATGGAAACATACTCTCATGAATGAAACTGCCAGCATTTTACCTGGTGGCCAATTAACACTGCTAGAGCCGTTAGGCGATTTGGCACGTGGCCAGCCATCTCCTATTGAACCCGGAGGACTGGCTGGTGAAGTACTGCTGTTCATAAAGTCATAGGGAACAAATGGAGATTCTTCCAGCCTGAAACCACTTGAAATAGCACCTAAAAGGAGAAAAATGACAGTGAAATGTAAGCAAAAAACACTACTCAATCTATTCTTGTAGCTTCTCGATTATAAGACTACTTTCTATTAGATCTCTGGGTTCAACTGTGTTCTATAGAGTACGTGAAGATGTAAGGAGACAGGAGAGCTCAGAGGTCTCTTCCAGACCTCAACTACTTTTAACTCTCTTCATTTGAAAAAAAGGATTCCACTGCTTAAAAAATACACCCTCTCCTCACTTATCAACATGGTTAGGTTCCAAAGACCAAGTCATTATGCAAAATCGGCATTATGCGAAAATGTTGGATGACCACATCAAATCACAAAATGGAGGATAACTAAATCATTACATAAATGCCAAATTACAGCACTGCATAACTGTCAAACCACTGAGAATCATGACTCAGTCAGGTTGAGACATAACCTTAACCATTATTGCCAACGTAACGTTACTCTCGCCTCGCACCTTGGCATTCATTACTGTCAGACATACGATGTTAATGCACAAAATAGTCGGATAGGAGATTTTTTACTATTGTAAATGCGAGATATCTGGTAACAAGACAGTTGATAACTAAGGAGTAGGTGTAGCCTGAAATTACCATAGTGGACTCTATTTCACCAAGGATATGAGGCACATAACCATCAATAATAAGTGACCAGAATATGAGTACAAAATTATTTCTAACTCATTAAAACATTGTATTTTGGCCTAAACTGAGAACAAGCACAGTGACCTCTTTGTTGGGGAGATTCATGTTTTTGGTATGAATGAGGAGCACTGGAGGGAGGAAGAAAGAATTCTGGTGAAGAAAGAACTGTAGTAAGGAACGTCGTGAGTGGCAAACAGCTGTATCTCAGAATCCAGGAAACTGTGTATTCATGTATATCCAGGATATTCATGTAATGAAAACAAATGGACGTTCTCTCCTATAAGGATATTTCTACGTCTACCTTATACTCCAGCAGTTCTACTCTGCACACATGGGGGCGCCATGAGTCAGAACCGACTTGGCAACTAACAACAACATTGTACTTCAGCCCCTTGTGATAACACAGCACTGAAAATATCTGTTACCAAGATGAGTGTGAAATCCATAAACACAATTTACTCTCAGTTAGAAATGATCATTTGTTTCTTAGATGATGATTTATTCTCCAAATTGAAAATAGCTATTTTGAATACACATTAAAATGACTAATGCTTCACAGAAGAAGCGAAACACATCCACTTCCATTCGCTCATTAGAACAGTTCCAGCTGCTATGCCAAATGCTGTAGATAGAAAAGGAAGACAACTGGGGTCCTTGCCCTCAATGACACTATATTCTAATTGGGGAGACAGAAAAAACAAGTAAACTGAGAAGAGAGTGTGTGGCGAGGAGAGGCAGAGTTAGCACGTAACAGGCTGGAGGAAGAGATTCTAGGTAACGGAGACAGTCTGTGCAAAGAACGGAGGAGGAAAACAGCTTGGCAGGTGCGACAAACTGAAAAACCTTCCAAGACCACTGTGTCTAGAAAACAAGAAGTGAGAAAGTGAATAACATTAAGGAGCGGAGGAGTCCTAACATTGAAGGGCAGGGATGACCAAATATGTCTTGTTTTAATGTTCGGAATTCAAAGGCCTGGAGGTACGATGTGTACACTTTAGTTAGCCACAGGTCCTAGGACTTCAGACTGGTCTATGCCCAGCCACCTCTGCACACATTTGTATGTCTGTTTCTTGAAGGCATCAGAATTTGCAATACCCTCCTGCAGGGCTATGAAGGGCACAATAAGGGGTTCTTTTATATTAAGGTATTTCCAGAAGGGAAGTAGAAAAATCTGATTTGCTGCACTGTGGAAAATGGATTGGAGGCAAGGGAAGCAAGCCTGGCAGAAGGGAGATCATCTGAGGCTGTTGAGGCAGTAAGAGATAATGGATACATATACTATATATTTTGGTAGCAGAACAGACACTATTTATTTCACATGGACTGGATGTGGAAGGTGTAGAATAGAAAGAATCGAGAATGTCTGTTAGATTTAAATGTCCATCAACTGATAAATGGATAACAAAATGTGATATAGCCATAAAATACAGTATTACTCAACTATAAAAAGGGCTAAAGTACTGATATATGCTGCAACATGAATAAATCTTGAAAACGCTATGCTAAGTGGGGAGGGGAAGCCAGTCACAAAAGTTCACATATTAAATGATTACGAAAATCTACAGGGACAAAAAGTAAATTAGTAGTTGCCTTGGGCCTCAGAAATCAGAGAATTGAGAAGTGATGGTTAAGGAGTACAGGGTTTCTTTTGACAGTAATGAAAATATTCAAAAATTGGTATCGTGACGGATATACAACTCTGAATATACTAAAAGTCATAGAATTTTATACTTTAAGAGAGTAAATTGTATGGTATGTGAATTATACTTCAATAAAGCTGCTGTATTTAAAAAAAAAAAAAGGCTGTGTCTTAGGTTTCTAGCTTTACTAATTTGATGGAAGGAGGTACATTTTCACAACATGGGGAAGAGTGAGGGTGAAGAAGGAAAAACCAGTGACTCTTTCATTCATGATGGGTTTGAGAAGGTTGCTTTAGCTATGCACTTCTGGTAAAACACAGCAGTGGCCTGAATGTTGCTTTAGTCTCACTATTCCAAGACAAAGGTTCCCCTGGTTGCAAGTTACAACATCAAAGCTTCTACATCAGTTATTTAGACATGGCAGAGCTGGGCCTCAAAAGGGTCTCATACCAGTCACTGCTGGGTACTCCCCTATCCCTGAGGTGACTTAGTTTCTCCATCATTTCCATTTCCCCCTCTGCTCTGGCTTCCTCATCTAGCTATTTTTATCTGAGTGAATTCTTTTTGGTAAGCTGAATCCAAACCACTTGGGAATGAAGCAAGATATAAAGTAGTAGTTGCAAGTAATACAGTTTGGTAGCTTAACTGCCAAATTTCAAGTGACAAATTCTTATGCAAGAGCCTGAGATAATAAAAGTATTCTTTTTTTTTTAGTAAGAAGAAATGTCCACTCATTAAAACTTCACTTTATATTAAAAAGGAGATAAGCTTGATATAAGAAGCAGCTAGGGTCTGATTATATTCTATGATTTCACTGTCTGAGAGAACATCAGAAAAATCAAACGTAAAATCTACCTGGTAGAATTAGTTAAAGCAAATAAAGATGGACTGACCCCAGAGAAACACTTTTGTCTTAGAGGTAGACGATAGGGCATGTAGTGAGATAATGACGGCTAAGGACCAATTGACCACTTATGTGTCTAACCCTCTTTTACTGCTTAAGTGCTTGTGATGTACTGTCTCATTCACCCTCAAAACATCCAAACAAGTATCATTATTATCCCAGTTGCAAAGATGAGGGACCTGAGGCTGAGAGAGGTTAAGTTACTGCCTGTACCTAACTGGCAGCAGAGCTCAGTCTAGACTCTAGAGTTCATGCTTATTTTGACCATTTTCCCACTGTCTCAACCCCTCATCCTCACCCTTAAAAAAATTCCAAATGAGATATATCAATGAGTGGCAAATTCAACTTAGAATTAAGGACTGCTTGATTTATGGTCCAATGTTTCCTCTGTTACATGACAATTTTACCTTTGATTTCTGATAACCATCAGTCCAACGTGTACAATCTAGAAAGCTGACCTCTAAGCCAAGTTTAGTCTAATAAAGATTCAAGATAAAATTCAATGGAAAGGATACTTCCCAGAAGTTGGCAGCCTGAGCAGTTCTATACTTCCTTCCCCCGATGCTATCACCAAGGAAAACAACTGAAGATCCACAGAAACAGCTCTGCAAGATCTTTAAAAGGTAATCAGAGAGCTACTAGACGAATGCTGAAGCAAGAAAAAGGCAACTTGTAAACTGTAAAAAAAAAAGTTTTCTTTATACCAGTGACGGCCTTCTCCCTCTCCAATTCCACAACTGTAACTGTGGCAGGGGTGGCAGAATGCAAACCATGCTCTCAGAGAAGGGGATGTTCTCTAATCCTGGGGTGCACAGAACAGACTTGGCTTTTGCCTGGCAGACTGTTGTATATGTCTGTTGTAACCTGTCTGAGGGCTCCCGGAAGGACTGAAAAGGGGCGATCCTCCAGTTTAGCTCCAGTCTCCAAGCTCCCAAGTGATCAAGGAGAAGCAAGAATTAACAATCTCCCAACAAAGAGAAGTCTTGGACCTGATGGTGTCACTGGGGAATTCTATCAAACATCTAAAAAAGAGCTCACATTAATCCTTCTTAAATTCTTCCCAAAAACTAGAAGAGGAGGGAACACTTCCTAACTCTTTCTATGAGGCCAGCATTACCCTGACACCAAAGCCAGACCTAGAAAGATACAATGAAAAAATTACAGACCAACATACCTTATGAATATTGATATAAAAATCCTCAACAAAATATAAGCAAACAAAATCCAACAGCATATTGAAAGGATTATGCACCATGATCAGGTGAGATTTATCCAAGGATTGCAACCAAACCAAACCAAACCCACTGGCATCGAGTCGACTCTGACTCATAGAGACCCTGTAGGACAGAGTAGAACTGCACCACAGAGTTTCCAAGGCTGTAATCTTTACTGCCACATCTTTCTCCTGTAGAGCCACTGGTGGGTTGGAACCACCAACCTTTTGGTTAGCAGCCAAGCACTTAACCACTGCGCCACTAGGGCTCCAAGGAATGCAAGGGTGATTCAATATAAGAATATCAAGTAATGTAATAAACCACATTAATAGAACAAATGAAAAAGCGACATGATCATCTCAATTGATACAGAAAAGACATTTGACAAAATCCAACACCCTTTCATGATAAAAATATTCAACTCGGAATAGAAGGGAAATAACTCAATAAAGAACATTTATGGAAAAACCCACAGTAAAGATCAAAGTCCATGGCGAAAGGATGAAGGAACAAGACAAGGATGCCCACTTTCACATTAACTGGAATTTCTAGCGAGAGCAATTAGGCAAGGAAAATAAAGGTATCCAA